GTGATAATCCTACGGTTATATATTAAAAGAACACCGTAAGCTCGTAGAGTGAGATACAGACGATTATAGCCAGTTTCGAAACTCGACACGACCACAATATCATCAATGACGATCGAACCAAAGTAGAAAATATTATTTTTCTAGCTGGGGAATATAAAATCGTAGGTTTTTTTTTTGGTCATCACAAGAGAACCGCACATAGAAAAAAGGAAGGAAGAGAGATATTTGGCAGAGAGAGAAAACGGTGGAGGAAGGATTGATATTTGTTGGACTTTTGGATCGAAAAATTGAAAGGTAAAGAGGTAGAGAAGCTCTGGATTCCGTCTCTTCCCGTCGTCGGCGACGGTGGTTTTGCCCGTTGGCTCTGAGGTATTTATATTTCTCAGATCTCCTTCTCTTCCATTTCATGTCTCTCGTTCTCTTGTGGTTCCGTGTTTGATCAGATTGGATCTGATTCTTGGTTTTGATTTAAAAATTCATTTGCTATGATTGGAATCGTGTGTTTGGGATCTGTTTGAGTCGAATTTGATTGAAATTTAGGGTTACGTAGGTAGATTCATTTATGTGGTAATGATTGATTTATCCTCGAATTGGATATGTTTCCAGCTTTTTTCAAGCTTTTTCAGATCTGTGAGTTATATAGTGGGCCAATATGTTAGGTGATGTTGTGAGCTTTGATCAGATATTGTGCTTTGTTATCTTATCTGCATTTTAATTATTGCTGCTAGGTGTTTGGGATGATGTTGATGAGACTGTAATGTAAGTTGAGTCCATTGTTACCCTACCGTGCTTGTCTGGCTTTCGGATGATTTCTCTATCTTTTCTTGTGTGTTATCTTTGGATTTCGTATGAATTTTTTCTATTGCTGTTTCGTTGCTATTAGGTTCTATCAGGCTTTAATTTAAGTGGATTTTCATCTTCTGAGATATGGAGCAAGTTTTTGTTTGGCCAAGCTGCTATCACTATCGGCTTTTCTCATTCCAAGAAGCGCTCGATTGGCGGTTTCTTGTACGTTCAGATTTCCTTGTGGGCTCTTTCGTTAACTGCACTTAGTGGTCAAACCCTCTTCTATGATCTTTAGAGGAAGGCGTGAGGCAAATTTCTGAGACAGGTATGGCTTTCGATTGAAGCTGTTTTATTCTACACGATTCTTCCTTCCTTAGATAGTTTGCCAATGGAACTTTAGTGCTTGCTATGCATTTGGTACAACTTGAATTCCTTGTAATTATCCCAACTGGAGTTTCTAATAGAATCCATGAAGATGGTTTTCACCTTATTTTTTGAGTGACAAAATCTGAAAATTTGAGAAATGGTAAAACTGCTAAAAAAAATTAGGAAATTTGACAAAGAAAAATATAAGTAAACAATTAACACGGAAGTCTTGTATGGCCATCATTCAGAAAAAAACACGTGCAGACAAGTTAAGAGGACGTCAAAGACCCCAAACTTGAAGAGATTTTTTGTACAGATCTTCTTATCTATCAGAGGATACTTAAATGTTCGACATTTTTGTTTTTTTGCAGGGCTGAAGTCTGCAAATTCTTCCTTCGCATAGTCCTAGAGAAACGTCTTTGTTCCTCTCTTTCGTATCTTGTTCTTATGGGTGCTGGTTGAAGAAAGATACATCAGTTTTCTTTTTCAAGTTTACGTATGTGGTTTCCTTGAGTCTGAACCCCTGAGTGAGATGTTGTGAGCATAGGGTCCTTCCTATTAGCCAACACATTCTTTCTTGTTGGTTCCTTGCGTCTTTGAGTTCTCAGTATGTGTTTTCCTCTTCTCTTGTTGTCTTTCTTTTGCCTTAATGGTCAACCCGTTTATGTTCAAAGTAAATAACGGTCAGTCTACCCAGCTGGAGAATCATTGATTTTACTGCCTTGGTGCCAAGTACTTGCTACGAACGACTGGAAGATTAATGCTATATAAATCTTTCAGAAGTTCTTTACATACAGAATAATATAAAGAAGCTACTTTGCTTTACCGGAAAAACGATGGACAGGTAGCTTAGTTTTCTCTCAACTTTTCTTTTAATATCTTTGGCATCTGGGCCCTTGATTTGTGGCTTAAGAATTTACTTCTCAACGCCTTATGAATTTATAGGTACAAGTTAATTAAAGAGGTTGGTGATGGAACATTTGGTAGTGTTTGGCGAGCTATAAATAAGCAGACGGGTGAAGTCGTAAGTTGCTTTCTTGGAGAGCTATCTATTACAGGTAGAATGTTCTGTTGATTTTTTAACTGACTGAAGTTTGTTACGAGCAGGTTGCAATTAAGAAAATGAAAAAGAAGTACTACTCTTGGGACGAATGTATTAATCTGAGAGAAGTGAAGGTATTGAACTACCTTTGTTGAATTGCTTTTGTTTTTTTTGTTTACTGTATGTTTACTTATTCCTCCTATTCCCTCCTATTAGTCGCTCAGGAGAATGAATCATCCAAACATCGTGAAGTTGAAGGAAGTCATCCGGGAAAATGATATCCTATACTTTGTCTTTGAGTACATGGTATACTTCTTTCCTGCTTGTTGTTTGATATTTTCTGATACTTCAATTCATTGCACTGAATCTGGTTATGTCATTCTTTCTTGATCAGGAGTGCAATCTTTACCAGCTTATGAAGGATCGACAAAAGCTTTTTGCAGAAGCTGATATCAAAAATTGGTGCTTTCAAGTCTTCCAAGGCCTTTCTTACATGCATCAGCGTGGTTACTTCCACCGCGATCTTAAGCCAGGTAATTAATATAGCCTTGAGGTGTGAGATACATAGCTTCAAACATCTGCTCTGAAGATTGGCAATTCTGATTTTAATCACTTTCTTTCTAACAATCATGGTTAAATAGTTTGACACTGAATATTTATCTATATTGTGTTGGGTGTTGCAGAAAATCTGTTAGTCTCTAAAGACATCATTAAGATTGCTGATTTTGGCCTGGCCCGGGAGGTTAATTCGAGTCCACCTTTTACCGAGTATGTTTCTACACGCTGGTAAGAGTCGCTTCCTTTTTTTTTGCGTTGCAATGAGTCATTCAGAAATATTAATATCTATGTATATTTGCACTTCATTGACCCATATGTTGATTACATGCTATACCAGTGCTGCCTTATTGACCCCAAAGTCTTTGTTCTAATAGGTACAGGGCCCCTGAAGTACTCCTACAGTCATATGTATACACATCAAAAGTTGGTTAGTATCCATACTGTAGCAAGAAATAATTACACTTTATCTTTAATGATGCAATTTAGTGCTAAACATTTTGACAATTGTTTTTGTTCAGATATGTGGGCGATGGGAGCTATTATGGCTGAGTTGTTGTCTCTTCGCCCTATTTTTCCTGGGGCTAGGTAATTTAGCTGTGATTAATTTGTATTCTTCTGATTAAAAATGTTGCAAAATCAATGATAATAAACAAGTGATTATGTTGTCGTATCATACTTGCAGTGAAGCAGATGAGATCTACAAAATCTGCAGTGTCATAGGCACCCCAACTGAGGAGACATGGTTGGAGGGACTTAATCTTGCTAACACTATAAACTATCAATTCCCTCAGGTACTTGCTCGAGCTTGAAAAATTGTGTCTTGAGGCTCACTGGTTTTTTTGTATCAGACAATAACGATTGTCATCTTGCAGCTTCCTGGTGTACCTCTTTCAAGCTTGATGCCATCTGCTAGTGAAGATGCAATTAATCTTATTGAGGTATTTTAACAACTCTTAAAAGGATATTCTATGAATCCAAGAACGTATTTCTTTTATTATCAGACAGTAATCTTCACCTTTTAACATGATAATTCAGCGGCTTTGCTCGTGGGATCCATGCAGCAGACCGACTGCTGCTGAGGTGCTGCAGCATCCGTTCTTCCAGGTACAACCAGAAAGTTTTTGATTGGACGATATGCGATGACTGTTATAGCTCTACTCCTTATCTAACTGTGTTCTCATATGGCAGAGTTGCTTTTATGTCCCACCATCTCTTCGTCCCAAGCCTTCTGTTGCAAGAACTCCTCCCGCCTGGTAATCTTGTAGTTTGTTGACAGCCAGTGTCAGGATGTGGAATTATTATATCTGTTTTGTGATTGTTACAATCAAAATTTCATTTTCTGTTATATAGTCGGGCCTAGGGGATCATTCGAGCACCAATCAGTTAAACGGCACCCGGTGTCTCTTGCCAATACTAAGCCATTCAATAGCTATGTTTCCCCAAAATCAAATGCCGCATTTGGTAGTGGCGTCCAGCGGAAACTTGAGATGGCTAATCAAGATGGGACGAGAAACACTAAACCCGTGAGAAGCTCTGTCAGAGACTCGAAATACAGACCACCCGGGAAAAAAAGTCCTCGTAAGTAAAAAAAGCTTTAAACCCACATTTTTTTCTTCAACATGTACAATGATTGTTTTACTTCATCTAACAAAACAAATCCATTCAATTGGAGAAAAAGCAGCAGCAGCGTCATTGAACAAGAACCGGGTCACTCGTAGTGTATCGGAGACTGCTGATAAACTCGCAAACATGACCATTGGAGCAACTGGATCTCGAAGACACTCTGTGTCCGTGGTTGGACAGCATCAACAGCTGAAACCACCTGCGATGAAGGCAGGTTGGGTAGGACAAACACGTGACATGTTCCTTAGACCAACACAACCCACCACCAATGCCTACTCTAGGAAAGTCGCTGGATGACCCCTAAACAAATAGTAACTCAAGCAAGCCTCTTCTGAGCAAATATTTACTTTACAAACTCTCTTATAATCGTTTACTCTGGTTTGTCCCTAAGTCTCAAATTCATCAGAAAACAAGTGTCTCCTTTTCTTTTATGACGCGTCTTTGCGCCGTCAATGGTTCTGCTTTTGTTTTATTTTCTTAATTTTTGTGTTAAGGTTTGTTTTTGCGTGAGCGTGAGCGTGACGTGACAATTAACTGTGGTTTGCAATAAAGTTCGACTTGGGACTATTTTTATTATTGGGTACTTCCTAATTGATTTTGGAGCTAAAGAAAAATTTGTAGAGAAATGTATAAGAGCCCATCGATAGAAAATCTCCAAAGTAAATTCTCAGCAAAATTTACATGAGACTTTTGAATAATCAATCTCAAAGACGAGACCAAAGGAGCTTTCATTGCTTAGTCTATCTCTTGTCTGAGGAATTCCTAAAAGACTGCCAAAAGACAGGCCAGTTCTTCTTAGCTTCATTCCAGCCTAACAACGATCCTTTTCTCAACGGATCCCAGCTCGACGACACGATCCCATAGCTCACACCAGCTAAAGCCGTACCAAAGAAGACGAACGAAACAATAAACGGAACCCATGTAGGAACATCAACTTTCAATCCCACTTTGAGATAGTAAAAGAATGGGAAGAACAAAAGACCAATGAACAATGGTAAACCCACAGTGAATCCCATTCTGCTTATCATTCTGTTGGTCACTATCTCTGGAATCACACCTCTCTCACGTTCATCTTCATCATCATCATCATCTTCGTCTTCATCGTCGTCCTCTTTGTCACTTTGGTTACCGGGTTTCGGCTTTTTAGACTTCTTGATTTTCTTAGGAGGAGGTCCAAAGCCTCTCGGGCTATTCATAGTTGCGTGTAATGGCGATATACGCAATATCTCCAAGCGGTTGTTGCAAGTAATGGACTTAGGAACTTGACTCTTCGTTTTGTCTCTGAGTCTTTCTACTAAGCTACTACACTGTTTGTAGTTTCCATCATGCTGCGAGATTGAAAACAAGATAGTGGAGTAATTGTTTGATTTCATAGATGATTATGACGGCATTAAAGTGCAAGAATATGGAGGGGAACGATTTGACTAAGTTTTGATCGACGAAAAAAGGAGAAGGAACGAGTTGACTCAGCATCAATGAACTACACAGATTGAAAGAGATAGAGAGAAGGTTACCTTGGAAGAAGATCTGGGATGAGCAGAGAGCTTGAAGGAACATGGTACTGATGCCATTGTATCAAACCAGACATGAACCACGAAGGGAAATCCTAAACGAGATTCAGACAGAGAGAAGCGTCAGATTTTTGGGTTCTCTGTTCTGTTTCGAGTGGGGGAAATGGATAAGGTTTGATCTTCGCCTTTCGAATTTTATTTTCTCAGGTAAAGCCAATTCGCTTAATACCGGTTTAATACGGTCCGGTATGCATCTGTTTCATCCGGTCCAATTATTTTCTTAACACTAACTTTGAACTTCTGAACTTTTGAACAAGTGGTTCTCCGTTTACATTCTTCTCCGATCGGAAGAGCGAGGAAAATGACGGAAAGATCTAAAGAGGTGAGATGATTTTCTATTTGTGCTCGATTATTGACGAATTTTGATATCCTATGATCCGACGATTTTGGATTTTCGTGTTATTGTTTTCCAGTTATGGCGAAGCTTGATCAATCGTTCTGGGTTACGACAACGCAACTACGAATAAGGTATGTAACACGAAACTAATTTGCCTTTTTTGATCTTAGAATTTGCTCTTTCGTTTGGTAGTGAGGCTGTTGAACTAGGATAGTGTGTTAATCTAATCGTACAATAGCTAAGATGCTAGTGACAACTGAGAACCCGTATGAGTTTGCTTCAATGTTAGGATTGCAGTTCGTTTGGCTGTGATGCTTATTGAATAGTGGAAAAACACAAAGTATTTAAACATAAGCAAATTTGAGACACAGACACCTTAAGTTGTGGCGGCTCTGAATCGCCATTCTTGATCTGAGCTTATCAATCCCCTAGGCCAAAGTGAGCCATTAGTAGCCAAACGAAGTTTATGAACTCTCCACCTTTGCTTAGAAGCTCCAAACGTGTTGTACCGTCACAATGGGATGCTGCGTGGAAGAGGAATTCCAACCACACTTTGCTAAGTGTCTTCCATTTGTCTTTTCCAAAATCCTTCTCCATTTTCTGAAGTTCTTTGGCCACTGAACTTACCTCAAATAAAACTGATTTGCTATGATTTCCTTTGACATCTCTTGCTTCGATGCTGGTATCGACTGAAAGAATTTTCTCACTGGCTAATTTCACGCTCCTAGAGTTTATGATACCCATCTTCTTGAAATATCTCTCAGCTTCGGCCAATGTGTCTCTGAATCTGATCTTTCCTATGCCAGCTACCTCTGACATCAGCTTGGGCTGCATGATCAAGAGATACATCATGTAGTCCGAGAGGATTTTGCTGATCTCACGGTCAGTCTGATACTCATATTTATCGCAGTTCTCATTGGTGGAAGCTTCTTCTTGGTAACATAGCTCGGTGGCAATGTGCCAAATCAAAAGACTATGGTCATAATCAACATCTCTTATGTAATGCAATAGCATTTCATTATCTGCTATTTGAATCTGGGTATCGCTTGATGCCCAACCTCTCCTGGCCGTGGATTTTGTTTTGGTATTCTCCAGGCTGTATAGATTCTGGGATTTCAGCTCCAAATTTATGAAACACCATAGGTTTTTTGTCAAGGGTTCATTGTGTACAGATCTTACCAGTCTTATTTCATGGAGGAGATCTTTGATGCCCATGAAGTTGATGAAGCGGGTGCCAAGAAACGCAAAAATGTAAGGTACCTGGTACCAAAATTCAACGAGGGTCTTGAAGGTGGCGATAACAAAACGAGCCACCTGATTTTCTCCTGGGGGTAGAATGATCACATGGGGGAGAATATTCTGATGAAGATCACGAAACCATCTGGTGATGTGTCCAAACCAAGTGTGGATGATGGAGATAGCGTAACTGAACGGGAAAACACATGTCTTCCATAAATGCCTGCATGTTCTATCCGTTGGGTTGTGGATCTTTTCTGTATCTGCATTCATGGAGTATGTGATGAAGTTTAACATGTTGATACTTTCTTTCCATCTTCTGAGTAGAAACGGTCTCTTAAGCGCCTTCTGCTGATGTCCAGCACGACATGTTTGCCTCTTCCACTTTGGCGTCTTCAAAGAAAACATCCAATTGAGTATGCTGTCTTTTCTTGAATACATCTCGTCGGGGTCATCCTTAAGCTTTGCAAGGATGGCTGTTGTCCAGTCGGAAACCATGAACACCTGGATGGATATAAAATCCAGAGCTATGCCGACTAAGAACAACGTATAGGTGATCACAATGTCACCTTTTTGAAACTCTTTGATCTTGTTGTGTCTATAATGGAAGATGCCCAAGGCTGACAGAAGAGATCCCAATGATAGAAGACGGGACACAAGTCCAAGCCAACTATGAAGAACCGCACCTTTTGTGTATAGGCCTTCATAGATAAAATCAAGCTCAACCTCTATAATACTTAGAGCTTCATCATCATGTAATGAGCTAAAGAATGCTTTGCTTTCGTCACGCAGCTCCGAGCTGAAGATGTTATTGACCATAAGACTCTTGAAGTTGTTGAAAAACAAGAAAGCATATTGAAGAATTTCAAGGTGGGTCAAGCGTCTATCGGGAAACATGAGTTTCAGAGGTTTCGGCTGTCCGCGGTTCTCCTTCATGTACATCTCAGATGCAATTATTGAGTCCGTATCTAGGTTCTTTGTTTGCTCGTTGTTTTCAAACCCTAGATTGGAAGCCTGCAACATCGAGCCCCTGAACTTGTCTGAACTTGCGAGGTACAACGCAATTGTCCTTTCCAGATACTTAGAAGTCCCAGAAATGAACAGCAACAGTATCATCACCCAAAGCACATTGGGTAGAGACTGGACAACCACATATACACCTGCAAGTGCCTGAAAGATAAGGCCAAGAAAATGTCTGTTCCAAAGAGCATTGTCTTCGAGGGAAAACGCAGTGATGGTGTCTGGTCCACCTAGGTGTAAAAGCAAGAAAGGTGCCCACAAGGCGAGGAGCTTCTTATTTTGCGGAGGATCATCGGGTTTAGGGGCTTTACCTTGGTTCTTGGCAATCAATGAGACCGCAAAATTTGCTGACAAATCTGCCAAGAGATACGAGGACCACACGAACAGGATCAGGAACTTGTTAGATGTTCGTTTCCTGGAGGGGGACAAGAAAATGAGAATTGTCTGAAGCGAGAGACTGAGGATGATCATTCCCCTGATATTCCAGCTATCCCAAATATCTTTGATTTGTTTGGGAATCACTTCCACCATTTTCCCCTGTTTCCTGCCGAGAAACGGTTCTGATTAGATCTGCTTCTAACACTTTTTTCCTTTTTGATGCTTCTAGATACCTTGTGTGCTCTGTGGAATTCCTTTGTTGGTTATTTTTGGGGTTTGTAGTCTTTTTCTACAAAAAAAGCACTGGTTTTATTTCAAGTTTTTTTTTCAAAAACGATAACATCATAAAGCGACAGAGAGCATGGCCCACTGCATCAAGTGTGTCTGTCTAAACGTCCTTAATCCTGGAGCTCACCACCAAAATATCAAATTCATGCAACTCTTTGAAATAACTTGTAGCAATGGTGCCAAGAAAGCAGAGAGCAATTAAAATAGAGGCCTTGGGGTCCATTGAAAAACAGAGCATCTATCGCCAATTAGAACAGAGGCCTTAGGGTCCATTAAAAAACAGAGCATCTATCGCCAGATTACGAACTAGGAGCTCATGAAACACACAGGTTTACATATGGTCGTGATTTACACACACACACACACACACAGAACAGATTATATAATTAGGAAAAGGGTCCAGAGAAAGAATGGTTGGTAGCTTGATCCTGCTTCGGCTGCCTCTGTGTTTTTGCATATATCCTCATTGCGCTAGACCGTCACTCTGTCCTACAAACATAAGCATTAAGAAATTTTTGCAAAAGATTGTTATGGACTTAGAAACTTATGGACTTGGAAACTTCATAACGATAACACAACCTAGAGGAACAAAAGATCACAAACAGACTGCAGACTAGTGATAGACATAACATTGGACTTACTCTGCTTATGAGATTTTCCTCTGAAGTATTCAGCTTTGGGCATTTGTCTTTTTTGTAAATCTCCAGATTAGGCAGTGTAGCACCAATAACTGATAGCATAGGCAACTCAAGAAGACACAGTGTGTGCAGGTTCCGCACTTCAACTTGTTTTTCAAACACTTTCTCCAGCTTGTTACAAAACTTTATTTTCAGGACTTCTAGGCTGGTGGGCGGCTCGAATGCAGGGAAAAGCGTTTTAATGCTTGGGCAACAATCTAAGCTTAGTTTCTTCAGATTCTTGAAGCTGCTACTGCATATACTATCCATCAACCGAAAATTCTTTATGGACATAGTCTCCAGGTTTCTCAGACGTTCCTCATCTACACCAGAGAAAAGTTTGTGTATGTCCCCGCACATCTCCAGCCAACAACTTCTCACTGATTTCAAATCATTGAAGATAGATGAGAGACTTTCGGTGCTTTTGTCCACAAAAGCCACAAACTCAGCTTTAGCTAAGGTTTCCTTGTCTTGATCTATGCCATGTGATCCTTGGATCTCTAGAACTTTCTGATGACTTTTAGTATCGAAAAATGGTACAGCATTCATATAGATAAGCTTGTATATACGACCTTTGTAAAAATGTTCCCTGTGGTCACCTTTCGTTGCAGGACCATCAAAGGCCCAAGCTTCATGTAATTGTTTCTCCCTCAATCTTCCTGACTCCCTTTTTGAGATATCTCGGATTCTATTGACTGTACCAGGAGAGCTAAGACTCTCAGATATCTCTTTTGTTATGGCTTCCTTTACTTGGCTCCAATTATCTCGTACCAAACTTCTTGAATCTGCCAGAACAACGAGCTTTGGGCAACATAGACTGTGCTTCACTGGCAACTCTGGTAAGGTTTCTATTCTGGTGCCAGAGAGATTAACTTCACGTAGGTACAACATCTCCTCAAAGGATCCCTCGATTTTATGCAAGTTAGTGCACCCAGAAACATCAAAGACTTCGAGGCTTGTGAGTCCCTTGATGTTTGGGAGAGCTTCTAGGTTGGAATTGTCCCTTAGGAGGAGCTGACGATGGCTATATAGCCCAGAGATGGTGGAAGGTAATTTGGTCAACTTCGTGCCTGAAAAATTAAGCATTTTGAGTTCTTCTTTCTGCTCGAAGCATACTGCCGCAACTTCCACTAAGCTGGTACCACAAGAAAGATCGAGAATTTGTAGACTCGATAAGGGTCGAAGATTGGGCAATTTGACTAAATTGCTACATTTGCGTAATGAGAGCCGCGTCAGTGAGTGAAGATTGGCAGCTGCCGCAGGGTCATGAAATATTGGCAGACGTTTTAGTTTGCTCTCTGAAAAATCAAGGAGCTGAAGCTGTTGAAGACGAGAAAATGTTCGGTTTCTGCTTGCCTTTCCTTTCATGCCAAAGCAAGTTCTTAGCTTGCATGCACCATGGACATCGAGAACCTCGAGCCTATCTAAATGCTGCATGTCTGGCAAATCTTCCAACACTAGACAGTCCCTAAGAATGAGACTGTGGAGGTATTTCAGTTGAGAAATGCTGGAAGGTGAAGATTTGATCCGAAGTCCAGAGAGGTTAAGACTTTGGAGTTCGGACATTGCGGCAAAGAAGTCATCAGAGATAGTTTCCACAGAGCTAGCGCCAAAAACTTCAAGAACCTCTAGCCTTCGTAGATCCTTAAGGTCCTCCATGCTTTGCAGTAGATCATAGTTCCTGATCACAAGAACTCGGAGTTTCTTGAGCTCTCTTAAAGACCGGATAAGGTATCCCATTGTGGGACTAAAAAGACCAAGTACTTCAAGATCTTTCATCTGTGGCTGCTCAAAGTACTCCTTAGGAGTTTCTCGACGCAGGCGGTTTCCACTTACCAGTATTGTAAAAATATTCTCTCTTTTATTTGCTTGTACTGCTTTTATCATATCATCTATCTGGTTTACTTTCCCTAGACTTTTGTTTTTGTCACCACCATAAACCGTAGCAAATCGGAGCCGCGATCTGCCTAAGAACCCATGATGCCGGAGATCAGTTAATTGGTTCATTGCCACCTCTGGTACAACAAAATATCCCTCTTGTATCTTCAGCATACCGCGATTTATAAGCTCCAACAAGATATCATGACCATCCTTATAAGCCTTCTTAACAGATCGAACGGGATCAAAGTAGCCTTCAAGTATCCACTGTGTAATCAGTTCATTGTAGTTAATACAGCCGCAATGCTTAAAAAAGTCCAAGCTATGCCAAAAACAATCAACGATGGCATTCTTCAATGTATCATCAGTTTCCAGCAGCTGATAAGCAAGATGCAGAATGGGATTGTATCGATATGATTCGACAGTGCTCTTCGAACCATAATCTGAAAGGGGTAGCGCGGGGGGAAATAAAACGTCTTTTAAAACCTTCTCTTGTTTTGGAGAAAGAGTCTTGAAATTTTTCTGATGAGTAATGCACTTTAACGACTTGGAAAGCATGGCAATTGCAGCGGGCAAATTATTACTTTTCTGCACCACGCGAGGTATCAATGGCTCATCAATCTTCCAAGATCTCTCAAGGGACTCAAGCAAACCCTTTGCCTCATCCTTGATAAGGGACTCCTGCAAATTATGACGAGTAAGGTTTTCAAGTATAGCGTGTGACTCATCCGTGGCATGGAACTCAATTTCAGACCGTGTAGTGTTCTTATCTCTTTGCCTTCTTGTAATAAGAATTTTAAGATCTAAGTTTTGTTTACTAAAAAAACTCTCAAGGCCCAAATCCTTCATCACAGTATCTTCACTGGTCTTGTACCCTTCATCATCAAGTATCAGTAGAAGATACGGCATTCTTACAGCAGATGAAGCGTGTATCAATGATCTCTTCTTTGTTCTGAGCACTGCACTTATTTTCTCCTGTAAAGCAGTTAACAAGTCTTCCGCTTGCTTCCCCTCCATCTCATCTCTATCATACACTTCAATTTGGAAAGCTATGTTCTCATACAGCGACATTACATCGTCAAACCTCTTGTTGAGATGCAACCAGAGGGTGAAGTAGCACATGCCTTCCTTAGTTGCATGCTCGCTTACCATCTTTGCCAACCAAGTCTTCCCGGTTCCAGCTTCCCCAGCCAGAACAACTCTTTGAAGGCCACCTCCACGACCAAACAGAGTTTTTGCTATCTTCTCACACAATCTCATATCATTCATTTCTTGGTGTAGTCCAGGTGAACCCATTTCTGGTATATGACAAAGAAAAGCATTAGAAGAATGTTGATTGTCAGTATCATTATTACTACACATTAATTCCTGAAAAGCGCTTCCTAGTTTTGCTAAGGATTTTTCTTTCTATTTATCGGTTCTGAGAAATGAGATAAGGTTGATTATCGAAGAGGACAGACTTATCAATAAATTCGAAGCCAATGCAATGCGAGTTTATACATATGTCTACAACTAAAGGTCTATAGATCACTACACTGAAAATCAGAAAATGTAGAAACGAAGGAGAGGGAATAGAGTAACCTCAGGGAGTTTCCGACTCGATAAGATTTCTTTGGCCAATGGTAACCTTAAGGAAACAAATGGTAGCAGTAGAATAGTGTTTCCCACTAATAAAAAAGCTGACTCACAAACTGAGAAAAAAAAATGTCTTCAACATCATGTTTTTTCTTTTCTTTTCTATTTTGGATTATTTGTTGTCTTCTTAATTGAATGATAAACAGAAACCAATGAAGACACAGATTCTATACCTAGCGTGAGAAGGCATCAGACCGACATGTTTTATTACACTTTTTTTTTTTTTTTCTCTTACATGTTTTATTACACTTTTGTTAAGCATATTATTTTATCTCTGTTCTCATTATCTCAAAAAAAAAAAAGCTGACATTGTCTCTCTCATTTTGTTGTATTGTGTGGAAGCTGAAGAGTAGGTATTATTGCATATTCTGTTTGTTTCTTATAAGATTTCAGAATGGTATAGGTAATAGAGAGTTCATGCCTATTCTTTTTTCTTTCCCTTCTATTCGATTCGGTTGTTACTTTCTCGACTACTTTCAAGATTTTCAGGCAGATGGTGCGTTTGCTTTGAGAGCTTGGGAAGAAAAGGGTTAATTTACCATTAGCTAAGGAGATACTTAGTGGAGAAAGTCATGGCTGCCAATAACAAGTCACAGCCTCAGAAATCAAGAGATACTTTGGAGAAGAAAGTCGATAAGATCTCGAAGAGCTTATCAGAGTTGAAAACACTATTGTGTTCTATAAAGCAAGATCCCGTAGGAAGAAGCGACAAGGATGAAGGGATTAATCAAAGAAATAATCAAAAAGAAACTTTAGGAAGGAGCCGAAGTGCTCCTGCTGCTTTGACTCATGTTACATTTGATGGCAAATTGATTACGAGGCTAGACCATCGCCTCCAGGTGCTCAAACCGAAGCTGGTAAAGCTGGAGCAGTTTCAAACAAATGTGGGAGAAGAGCTTGATAAACATCTTTCTACCGTTCAGTCACTGATTAAAAATTTGGATTCTTCCAGGGTTTCTTCTCAAACTACGTTTTGGATCAAGCCCGACTTAGAAGGCATGGAGACAAAGATCTCTGACTTGTTTTACCAAGTCCCCTCGTTGTCTGGCAAAAAGCAGCAGCATATGGATTTCAAGATGATGAAGAGCTTATTCATCAAGGAAAATCCTGTTTTTATATTCCCAGTATGTATACAAATGTGGAAGATCTCACCAAAGGAGAGGTTTTTAGACAAGTAATACAGAAGTTTAAGGAGCTTGATATTGAACAGAAGATCTGCCTTTTGAGTTTCTCAGTGTTTCCAGAGAATCGAGAGGTTCATAGAACAATGCTGATGTATTGGTGGATAGGAGAAGGGGTTCTACCTGTCGAAGGAGCTGAAGAAGCTGTTAGGGAAGTTCTTAAGGAATTCACTGAGAAAAATTTGGTCGAACCCGTTGAAGAGAGGCGCAAAGTGGCTCCAAGCAGCTATAAGATGAATCCTTTTGTGCATTCTTCAGTTGTTCTTCTCTCCAAGGAGATTGGAATTTTTTATATCTATCGTAAAGGGAAGAAGCCAAGGATAAAAAAAACGGTGATGGGAAAGGTGTGCCTTGTGGAGGGGTCATCAATCCCTAAAAAAATGCCATCGCGAGATCATATCGAAACTGTGTTCAATGTTTCTGAGAGTTCACCAGATTTCACATTCAAGTGGTTCTCGGAGAAGCCATCAAACAAAAAGCTCATGATCAAGCTATCCACAACTTGGTTCAAGTCACTCAAGGTCTTCTATTTGGGGAGATGGGAAAGAAGTAAGAAACGCCAGATCCAGGTACAAAATCCTCAGCTAATGCAATGTTTGAAACATTTGAAGAACCTAAGGTTTCTAAGTTTTCAAGGGATCCAAACCATTAGAAGCCTAAACAGTTCGGCTTGTAAGCTACGCAAGCTGCTCATCTTGGACCTAAGGGAATGCTATGGCCTGAAGAAACTTCCAGAAAAGATAGGTTCACTTGAGAATCTAGTCTACTTGAATATGACAGGATGCTATATGTTGGAATGGATTCCCTTTAGGTTGGCTTTGTTGAAGAGGTTAGAGGTTCTCAAGGGCTTTGTGGTTAGTGATGAAGTCTATGAGGGTGTTGCGTGCAAACTTAATTATTTGAAGGGTTTAACGAAGCTAAGAAAGCTCAGCATCGAAATAAACCGAGATGATCTTGGTGTAGGAAAAATGATGGAGGATCTTGTAGAACTCAAAGCATTGACAAGCTTGAAGGTGACATGGAGGAGGGATATTTTTATTGGCGAGGATTCCACGAACATTAAAACTCTTCCTGATCAGTTGAAGAAACTGGACCTGCAGCGTTTCCCGCACGAAGAACTGCCCACTTGGCTTCATCCCGAGAATCTGCTTCACTTGAAAAAGCTCCACATTGGTGGAGGAAGACGACTCAAGGGTGTCGGTGACTTGCCTGAGAAGGCAACAAAATGTGCCGTTGAAGTCTTGCGTCTCACGTCACTCCCAAAGCTAAAGCTTGGGTGGATAGAGCTGAAGCAAATCTACTTCCCAAATCTGGCCTTTCTTGAGAACTATGAATGTCCAAGAGTTACTCTCACTCCCTGCGATGGAACTGGAATCTGGAGATCTGACCAAGACTAGTGTTGTGCTCGAAATCAGGTTAACTAGATTCGGTTTCAATTTGGTTCCTTTTTGGTTCGGTACTAAAACACAAAAGATTTGAACCGATAGTTCGAGTTTTCAATTTGGTTCCTTTTTTGCCCAAATTTATCGTGTGTGTGTGTTTTCTGCATTCTTTATACAAGGAATTTTCTTAATCTGTTAAAGATATATAGATTCTAGAGATCTTCAAATTCATCAAACTTAAGTCTCTCAAAATATTAACAGTGATTAGTAAACCTCAAATTTAGATCTATGTTGATGTGCTGTGTTGTAGACATTCTGGTTGAGAGAGAGGGTTCGATGGAAGACAAGTAAACAAACAAGGCACGTGACAAGCTCGTGCGGTAACTAACTTGATGGCAATCTTGGTTATTACGGTTGTTTGTTTGAAGACCGTTAGCTTAGGTCGGAGAAGAAGGTCGTCAAATTAATCCGATATTTCTTTAATTTTCCCTGAAAACAATGTTTCGCTGGGACATATGCCATATAACTGAACTTGTAAAATTCATGTGTTCAATTTTTTTGTTTTTGTTTCTTGGTTCTCAGTCACATCGCTACTATGGACATATTCGATTTATCATGTTTATGCTTTTCTTGTGTGGCTTACTTATGCTTTTTACTTTTTAAAGTAAAAGCAGCTCAAGTTTCTCAACAAATCAGCTCATGCTTTTACGTTTCTTTGTTTTTAGGCTAGAGCCATACCTTTTACTTTTAAAATAAAAAATTGAGTTAAGCAAAATGATTCATTTTCTCTTCGAAAAGCAAATTATAGTTTGCTTTCTCATTTATCATAATATAGCAATCCAGGAAATCATTATTATAAAATTTCATAATGTTATATATATATTAAGCAGGTTTCTCAACAATTGGCTACTCATTACACAAAATTGGCTTTCCATATACAAAAAAAAAAAACCAAAAATATTACATCTACCATGGATGCAGTGGAATTTCCCAGTCACCGACACCCTTTAAACCGTAAAGAGTTATTGTCCGGAGAAGAAACTCAACTATGTGGTTTATGTGGAAAAGAGGTGATTAACGGGCCTGCTTATGAATGTTCAAAATGTAATTTCACTGCGCATCTTGATTGTGTCAAGAATCCACCATCGCTTGTGATCGAGAAGAGCAAGATCCACGAGCATACACTCACCCTCTTACCGAGACATGTCTCTTTCACTTGTAATGCTTGTGGACGCTCTGGCAACAAGTCTCCGTATGTATGTCTCAAATGTTCTTTCATGGTACACGGAGACTGCATAAACATTCCACTCGTTATAAAAATTATTAGCCGTCATCCGCACCGCCTTTCTCATACTTGCTTTCTTGGCCCCGGGGAATGGAGTTGCGAAGTTTGTCATCTGAGGATTGATGGGAAATACGGTGCTTATAATTGTCAACGTTGTTTGTACACTGTCCATTTGAGATGTGTATTGAGGGCAGACGTGTGGGACGGGAAAGAGCTCGAGGGGGAGCCTGAAGAATACAAAGAGATTGAGAGTAGTAAGCTTGTTGGTGAAAAGTTCGTTCATCAACATGATCTAAGGCTCGTAAACGAAGATATTAGAGATCATATTGTGTGCTCAGGATGTTCTCTTCCCGTTGCTTCTAACCCCTTTTACAGGTGTCTGCAATGCCATTCCTTTTTCCACGAACGATGTGCTAATCATCCTCAGAATAAAATTACGATTCTACATGTACACCCACTTACTCTTTACGCGGACGATGAAAGGTCAGGTCCTAATACTCTTTCTCGCTGTGATGCTTGTGACTTACATTTCAGTGGGTTTGGATACCGTTGTTTGGAGTGCAAAGACGGCCATATCGAGTTCGATGTTAGATGTTCTTCAGTCGCCGAACCATTTGACTACCGTCTTCATCCCGGACATCCTTTATTCTTCATTCTTCCAGCCAATGAGGCCGAGATCTGCAATGTCTGCAATCATCGTAGGCCAAAATATGTGCTAAGTTGTCTTCAATGCGATTTCAAGCTGTGTTTCGCGTGTGCAACCTTACCCGATAAAGTGATCTGCAAGTACGATGAGCATCTGCTCTCCGACACCATTGGTGAAGATGATACCACAATCCATATTGGTATGACATATGCGAAAACAAAATCGAAGTAATGAGGAATCACTACACGTGTACTGAATGTGGTCCGGTTCTTCACACAGAGTGTGTCCTTGGAAGTTTCAGAAACATGAGTCCAGGGTTTACTTTCATCACACAACATGGATGCAAGTACGAGGTGATTCTCAATGACCGGACATCAATATTACGCTGCAACCAGTGTCACAGGCATTGCCATGAACCATTGCTCTTGATGTCTACTACTACCAATACCGATGTCACTAGTACAAGGATTTACTTGTGTTCTTCTCCATGCTTCAGAGCTTATGTTTCGGTCTAAGTGTCCTTTGTTTTGTGTTGTTTACAAATCTCTTACTATCAATAAACAAAAAATTGCCATCTTTGAATAGTTATCGTCTTGCAGATATTTCTTATTTCTTAGAGATGAAAAAACGTAAAGCCACAACAACTCTTTTGAAAAGAAAAATAAGATTTCTTAAGATCATAAATTCTGAGGGAACAGAGAGATACCTCAACATGGAACACATGGTGGCGGGCCACAACGTCTGAATTTTCACTAGTAAGAATCAAAAAAGACTCAAAAAGAAAAATGTCAAGACAACATTTATTTCTATTTTAATTTTAGAATCCAAAACTGGAAAACGAAAAACTCTTAGAGCCAACATGATGGTTAACCTTCACCGGTTATAGTCGAGATGGCTTGTTTCTAACCGAGCTGCATCAAGCCAGTGAAAGATGGTCGAGGCAATACCCAAAGGAGTGAAAGATATTTGGGACAAATGGAACATTCGTGGCCTTGTGATATTCAGTCTTGTCTTTCAGACAATCCTCGTTCTTCTCTCACCAAATCGAAAACGAACACCAAGGAGGCTTCTCCGGCTTCTCCTCTGGTCAGCTTACCTTTTAGCCAATTGGGCAGCTGACTATGCCGTGGGACAGATCTCAGATAGCGCAGGAGACGACCCTGAACCGAACGAGTCACCCAAGACCAACGAGCTTTTAGCGTTCTGGGCAACATTTCTTCTCTTGCACCTTGGTGGCCCTGACACCATCACCGCTCTTGCTCTGGAGGATAATGAGCTCTGGCTCAGGAATTTGTTCGGTCTGCTGTGCCAATTTATTGCTACTCTCTACGTGTTCTTGCTATCAATACCCAACAGTCTCTTGGTACCAACATCACTCATGCTTATGGCTGGACTCATCAAGTATACTGAGAGGATACAAGCAATGCGTAGAGCTAGTCTTAGAAGGTTCAAGGATTCGATGCTTGGGGAGCCCGAACCTGGAATCGACTACTCGAGGTTCATGGAGGAATACAAAATTAGGAAGCTTTCGAAAGAGCGTAGCCAGTTAGTTAGGGTGGAGGAGCGTGAGAAAGAGCAAGGAGCTCGGGTACCAGTAAGGCCAGAGGTTATTACCCATCTCCAGGTTGTTCAGTATGCTTATAAGTACTTCAATATCTACAAAGGTCTTGTGGTAGATTTCATCTATAGCTCTCAGCAGTGGATAGAGAGCAAGCTCTTTTTTCAGTCATTGTCGGCAGAAGATGCTTTGAGGATTCTAGAGGTAGAGCTCAGCTTCATCTATGGAACATTATTCACCAAAGTTGACATCTTGCACACCTGGATTGGAGCTGCTTCCCGTTGTATAGCGTTGGGTTGCTTGTTTGCATCTCTCTACATCTTCAAAACATCCAGGAAAGATGGATATGATTGTTTTGATGTTGGTCTTACTTATGCTTTGATCTTTGGTGGAATCGCACTTGATTTCATTTCCATCCTCATATACTGTGTATCCGACTGGACATTTGCTAGATTGAGGAAGCTTAAGGAGGAGGTAGACAAGAAAGATACCAGGTTTGAGAGATTTCTCAATTGGCTCCTCGGTTTCAGGGAACTCAAGTGGAAGAAGTGCAAGTGTCACGAGGAAGAACAACCTTGTCACATGGTGCTTGATAGACTCTCTATATTTCGGCGATGGTCGGAGTACATATATGCATACAACCTGATTGAGTCCTCCCTGAAGATAAAACCAAAGAGAATCCACCACACCAGGGGTTACAGACACAGTTCCTTTAATACCATCATTCGAAGCTTGTACATAGATCATGTCTTTGATATCATAATCCGAGAAACAGTCTTAGTTTCCAGAGCCTTGAATCGCATCCGCAAGAATATAGACCTATGGATCATTTCTCTGTCCATAAAGCATCATCGAGTGGCGTATTATGTTCTCTACCCCGTCAGGATGTTGCATAGATTCTGGTTTGGGATTCCTCTGATTAACTATCTCTTGGAATTCTTCGGTATCCCAGATCAGCTAAACGAGATAGTATTCACATCCCATACACGCCTCACGAAAGAGCTTTGGGAATTCATATTTGAGGAGGTTAAGCGTAGATCCCTCTTAGTTGTTGGCTCAGAAAGTGACAGCTACATATATTCGGCTAGAGGTGACTGGATTCTGAGGGATATGAGAGTAGGGGATATTCACGAGAAACTGCTGCAGTATGTTACTGAAGTGGATTACGATCAGAGCATTCTGGTGTGGCACGTCGCCACGGAGCTCTTACACCAAACACAAGTAGACAATGCAGCAAGAAATGTCAGATGCAACGAGTTCAGCAAAACCTTATCAGACTACATGATGTACCTGTTAATCGTGCAGCCGTCTATGATGTCAACAGTTGCGGGAATCAACAAGTTAAGATTCAGAGAGGCGATAGCAGAAGCCAAAAACTTTCAAGAGGCTAAAACGCTGTTTCAGAGGACGCATGTTGAGGATTCGAGAGATGCAAAGAAGGCCTGTAAAGAAATAATGGATTCCTATAAGAAAGTAGAGCGAAGATATGAGAACACCAAAGGATACCAAAGCAAGTCTGTGCTAGTCCAAGCGAATATACTAGCGAAGGAGCTTCAGCGGATAGATGGTGACATGTGGGAAGTAGTGAGCAAAGTGTGGGTGGAGATGCTTTGCTACGCAGCAAGTCACTGTGATTCTAAACAACATGCAGCGCAACTCAACAAAGGTGGTGAATTGATCAACTTTGTTTGGCTTCTGATGGCTCATTTCGGACTCGGAGAGCAATTCATGACCACCAAGGAAGATTCTAGAGCCAGACTGGTTCTGGACAAAGCCACTACTTCTTGCCTTGTGTAACACGTTGTTGTTTTCTTGTCTTAAACATATTTAGCTATTGTTGAGTAATCATAATTTAGTTTCTATTAACTGTTCTCAATTCTTCTAAACCCCAATTTGCTCTATGTAACATGAATTTGTACTGAAATCGATTTTATATATGTCGCTGCCGTAGTTTAGTTTGGTAAACCGGATCAGATTGTACCGGTTATGTCTGACCGACCGGTCCGGTTCTTATGTTTTTAATCCAAGCGTAAAACGATGAGTGGTTCAGATCCACTGGTTCTTTCGTCTGAGAAAAAAAGAAAGAAAGCGAACGAAGAGTGTTTGCTTGCACTTGGGGATCGAATTAAGGTGAGAGAACAAAGAAGAGAAAGATCGAAAAGAGGCGAGAAGAATTGAAATAGCAATCTATTAATTAATGGTAAAAAAATTTTACAAGTTTTGTTCTTTGTCGATATTGTTCTATTTCTAAGGTTTATCCGAGTTTTTCCCAAGGTTTCAGCTGGAATTGGTTTATTGATTACTACTTATTAGATTGTTCCGGGTCCTGAAAAGGTTCGAATTTTATGGGTTTTACGAGAGAATCAGTGGGAAAGATAGGAGCTTTATGTTTTGTTGGCGATAGTGTTGAATATCCATTGGTTTATTAGCTTATAGATTCAATGTGCATTGGGTTTTATTTAGTTCAGTGGGTTTTGAAAGATCATTTAGTGGGTCAATGTTAACTTATTCTGTTTTCAAAAATCTTTACTAATTTTGCAGGTCTTGATGATCATTAAAGGTATATTTAGGAGATATGAGAAATGGAATCCCGTGCATCCTACTTATGGAGCGTTTTGGGGAATGGGGATTGGGATTGGTTGTGGTGTCGGATGGGGACCTGGTTTTGGCCCTGAGGTCATTGGTTATGTTGGTGCAGGCTGCGGCGTTGGTTTTAGTGTTGGCATAACACTTGCTGGTCTCGGCATTGGTCTTCCAACAAATTTTCTTCTTGCAGCTCCATATAACAGTATGTAGTACATCTCTCTCGCTCTCACATTTTTTTCATAGATATGTATTCTCAATACCAAAGTAAATTCTTATTTTTGAACTTTCTTGATTAGGGGTTTTTGCAACTTGAATGCACGGGTCATGTAGTAATCTTTTGTCTGCTGAAGTTTCTTTTTGATATTTTGTTTTCAGCTGTGGAAGCAACTAGAAAGGGTGCTTTTAATTTGTTTGGTAAAAATCTCTCAACCGATGGTTGGAGCGATTTTATGCCACAAATCGCTGGGTGGCAGAGACAAGTCAGTGAGATGTGCTCTGGTTTTCACAAGAAGCCTCACTTAAATAATGCCATTGACATTAAAAGTTTTCCTTTGTTCATTTCACATGATTGTAGAAAATTTGGGAGTCATCTTCTCCATGTGCGCAAAGGTACATTCATTTAGTCTTAACATTTTGCTATATCACTGTGCAAAGTTCTTCTCTATCCGTTTTCTTTATCATTGGTAAGATACGCTAAGTCTTAGTATTTCAAATAGTAGCCAGAATCATGGCTTCTAGTCTGAGCTTTTTGTTTCCTTTCATGTTACATATAACTAACTTGTACTCCAACACTCTTTTCAGTCTCATGTTAATGTATCTTTAGCTAGGAAATGTTTTTGTTAGTCACTGAAAATCCCTATATTCATTAGAACAAAGTGTATAGAGAACAGTTAGATTTATCATTTTTCTTTTCAGGTTCGGTGGACAATAAATCATCAGCTATGTAATGCCACCCACCACAAGGATCTTAAGCATCTGCGACACATTTCGAGATAGTTACTCTGATTGGAATATGTGAATGTGAGTGAAATATTCAGCACAAATCAGAACATGGTTCCTGTCTTGTTTGGTGAAACACTGTAAAACCAAACCTGAAGCGCTTGTGTCTTACAGTTACAGAGATTCAATTATAAGAGGTTTTTGATTTCACAGTAGCATTCATAGACAGTTCAGGTTAGTTAAACGTGTTTCACAAAAAGAAAAAGACCAGAAGTGTAGTTAAGGTCACACCACATGTTTATGCTTTGCTCTTAATCAAACAATATCTTTTCTCTTTTTGTTTTTTTCCCTTTCTAGTTGCTTTATTCCTTACTTGTGGCCTTGTGGGGATAAAGAATTTGCAGAGAAAGATAATTCGACTGAGTATATATTACATGTATACTTATTTTATATTTGTGGTCACCCCAAAGTGAAAGCTGCAGACTTTGAAACCCAGAAATTCCTCCCATTTTAGTTTTTTTTCTTAGAAACACAAGAAGAGCTTATGGAACTTGCTAAGAAGTTTATATCTGAAATTGATGAGAAGCTCGAGCCTAAATCTGAAATTGATAAAGAACTCGAGAAAATCAAGTCTTCCTTCAATGAAGAATATGAGAAATGGTCGTGTGGAAAACAGAGTGGATCTTCCTCTAAGCATGGAAACCAGTCCACAGATGGCGATTCATCGCCAACTCGCAACAGCAGTAAAAAAGGGCGGCCTAAGGCGAACCGTGTGGAGACGAGCTCTGAGCTTCCGGATCACCCCATTCATGGTTTCATAAACGAGAAACTGTTCTTGAAGAACTTCTTTCTGAAGCAAAAGGAATCCGAAGAGTTCAAGACTCGAGCAATTGTGGGGAAATACGGAGTTGGAAAGACGACATTGTGTCAGGATGTGTTCAACGACGAAGATGTGAAACAAGTCTATTTCCCGAGGATATGGGTTTCTATGTACAGCAAAGAAACAAAAGACCCCAAGATAGATGTTGTGAAGAGGATCTTGAGATTACTTGGAGTTGAAGATGAGATGTTTGAACACATCAAAACAGAAGCAGAAGAAGAGAAGAGAATCAAAGATGAAGCTGGGGAAGGAGGGGAAGAGACAGTCAAACAAAAGGAGCTCGCTCGATTATTGTATGCTCTTCACTTGCATCTGATTGGGAAGAAGTATCTGATCGTGTTGGACGATGTTTGGGAAGACAACGAGTGGGATCAAAGGCTCGATGATGAGAAGCAGCAGGAAAAATCACATCTTTCTTGTGGGTTTCCTAAAGGGTTTGGTGGGAGAGTGATTATCACTAGCAGAGACGAGAGATTGGCGAAGGAGATAGTCGGAGAAGAAGAGAATCTGCAGCGTTTGTTTCCGAGATCCGATGCAGAGAGTTTATGGAAGATTTACATTGATGCAGTACCCACCAAGGTGGACGATGCAACAGCCACGAATGCGGGCGATGCAGCAGCCACAAATGCGGGTGATGCAGCAGCCACAAATGTGGGAGATGCAGCAGCCACAAATGCGGGCGATGCAGCAGCCACAAATGCGGGCGATGCAGTAGCCCCAAAAGTGAATCCGAGGTATCCGGGAAGATACAAACAAGAGCTTATGGATAAGTCTTGTGGTATTCCTTTGGCTGCTCGCATGCTGGCGAAGATTGAGCCTGTGAAAGTGGATGAAATTGGAAACATAGATAGGAAGCAAAGCTAAGCTTCTAACTTCTAACGCAATATCTATGTATTTACTCTCTAATACTATATGGAAGCATTTCGAGATTACTATTTAAAGTTATTTTATTATTCTAAAAACTGTTAAAGAGTTGTGTAAGTGTAAACCTCTGGCATTTAATAAAGAATATAAAGAGCTTTTAATACATAGTTTTCTTATCTTAAGGGTTACACGATTTTTTTTTAGATTGATCCTTGATTATTTGTGGAGTAAAAGAACACGACATACTGCTTGAACTACTGATTTGACAAGGAGTTCTTGGATAATGGTTTTTTTCAATCAGTAGACTCTAGAGTAAATAAAATATGATGTATGATTAAAAAAAAAAAAAAAAAAAAAATGATGTATGATTGTACAAATATTTGTTTGTTGGTGACTGTATTTCTCATAAAACAAGATTAAATCTACATTAATCAATACTGTGTCTAAAAGAAACCAAATAGTGATTCGAATTAAAGGAAGATAAATGCCTTGAATTGTAAAAAAAAACTTTCAAACTTACCATACTTTAGCAGAAAAAATCTGAAAATATCACAAACTTTAGATTAGGGACTACAAATTTTTAGTTAGAGTTAGTAAATCATGTAGTTTTCATTTATAAGCTTTAGGCACTCTTCATATACCTAAAACTTATACTAGTATTTTTGTAAATTTGGGAAAATGATAATTGTAATTTTTTACTATCACATGTGAAAATTGCTCTTAAAAGAATTTCTGATTTTTTCAAAATACTTCACTTATGAAAGAAGTAATGAATTAGTATATTAGAATATTAGTTTCCTTTCAGCTTAAGAGAAGTTGCAGATTCTCCTTAATATGTTAAGTTAAACATCTATACCCTAACTTTTCTAAATGTGGATAGCATGTAACTTTTTTCTTTTTGTATGTAATAAGAAAAGAAAAGTTTTGCTTGTGTAGTAAACAATTCCAAAAGACACTGTTACCTGCATATATTCCGGAAAAAATGGGGGCATATATGTTACTCTGAAATACTAATAAGGGTCAAAAAATCTTGGAAGAATATAATAATTTATACTTGGCGTTATTGTTTCGACAGAATATAATATAAACTTAATTGTTGTTTTGTTGTTTTACAAAATCAGGATAGGCTTGACGTGGAAGTTATCGGAGATGGACTTGTATAAATAAGTGCATCAATCAACGAAGGATAACAAAACAAAACAATAACTAGAAAAAAAAAAAAAAAAAACTATCATCAGTGAAGAAAACTAATCTGATTAGCCACTCTAAACAATTAAGGTTCTTCTTATTCATCTCTCTCTATTTCATTTTAATTGTCTGGGACACAATTTATTTAAAATTTAAAATTTGCATTGTTATTTGGTAAATGTCATATATTGCATGGATATATAGTGTGGAGCTCTCTGATTAAATTGATCAAATTGGGAAAATAAAACCCTAAATTATATTCGTTCATCAAAATAAAGTTACTATCGTAACAAAGATCTCTTCAAGAAAACTCTAATCAAAGGTTTTAAAATTTCCTCTATTTTTTTCTTTTCTTTTCTAGAGATGGACAACAAGCAAGAGAAGCAAGATCAAATAGGCAGAGACGAGATTCTCAAGAAGATAAGGGATTCATTGGGACAAGACGGTGTACCTTCAAAAACTGTCCTCGTTGGTGAAGCTGGTATAGGGAAGACATGGCTTGCAAAACAAGTTGCTCAAGAAAAGTCTTCTAGTTACAATGTCCTCTGGTTACATCTAAACAAAAGGATTGAAGACGAAAAGTCGCTTTACGAGAATCTAGCTGCTCAGTTGTCGATAATTTACGAGTTTGAAGAAGGCGAAGAACCTGAGGAGTTTGATTATTCATTGGAGAGCTTGAAAGAGAAGATTACAGACTGGATGATCAAAAACAAGAAGGATAATCTTCTGTTGATTTTGGATGATGAAGGAAGTATGACAACTGAAAAACATGTAATGGAAGAGATATATCTTCAAGAGTTTTCGACACCCGGTACCAAAAAGATAAATCTCCAAGATTTTCTTAAGGGATACTCGACTGTGAAGACTCTAGTCACAAGAAGAGATGAACGAGAGGAGAAAGAATCGACAACGATCAAAGTCGGTCCGCTTACAGAAAAGGAGTCACTGAAATTACTCCACGATGCCGAGGGCTTACTTGCATCAGCATCATTTACCACTGAAGATTGGTCGGTTCTGCTGCAGAGACTTTGCGATAACGGAGAGATCAAAGAATCTTCTTTGATGTCTTGCATTTTGAGCAAGAGCAAGGGCTTACCAGCTGCGATCGTTGTCTTAGTCAAGTCTTTAAAAAGCATCAAGTCGTTGTCTGCGAAGCAGAGGAAGATCTTTGAAGAACTGATTCTATCATCCAAGTCATTAGATGCAGCTGCTGCTTCCAAGAACGCTAAAGATTGCAGCCGCTACAATCCTGTCTACAATCCTGTCTACAATCCTGTCTTGCGATTATGCTACGAGCTGTTAAAGCCTGACGAGACTGTCAAACGTCCGGTCATTGCTTGCTTTTGGCATATCCTGGACTTCTACAAGTACTCTGGATGCGCTTACTACCGCGACCTAATCGTGCATTGGATGCTTGAAGGGTATTTTGATCCGGTGAAGTCGGTTGAGAAAGCTTACCAGGAAGGACATTCCATTTTAATGGACTTTATGGACAGAGGAATCTTGAAGATACAAGAAGACAACATGGTAGTTCCAGAGTTTTCTATGAACAACCTATTAGATCTTCAAGATTGTGGATTCTTTGGAAGATCTTCTCTTGGATTTGACAGAGTTTACGGTGGAGACAAGAGAAAGGGGCTTGGAAAAATCATCTTGATCGACGATATGATACAGACAATTCAATCGAAGAAGAAGAATATCACGACGATTATCGCTAGCGGAAATCGTTTACGCAGAGAGGTTCCTGGGAAGTTCTTTGAGAGACCAGAGATGCAAGATCTTGAAGTTGTTGTCCTCTTTGAGCCAACGTTCCACGAACTTGTTCAGTCTTTATCTAAGCTAAAGAAACTCCGAGTACTCGTGATCAGAGACTGCGATCTAATCGATAACATCGATAAGCTCACGGGTCTTGAAGGCCTACATGTTCTTGAAGTCTCTGGTGCTAGTTCTCTAGTTAACATCCCTGATGATTTCTTCAAGAACATGACTCAGCTTCAAAGTATTAACCTTTCGGGACTAGCAATCAAATCTTCGCCTTCTACAATCGAAAATCTAAGCATGCTCCGTTGCTTCATCCTAAGACACTGCTCTGAGCTACAAGATCTGCCTAATTTCAATGTGGAAACAAAAAAACTGGAAGTTATCGACATTCACGGAGCTCGGAAACTTGAGTCTTACTTCGATAGAGTTAAAGATTGGAAGGACTATAAAGGAAAGAACAAGAACTTCGCTCATCTTCAGCAGCTCGAACACTTAGACTTCTCGGAGACTAAAATCATCCGTCTACCGATATTTCATACTAACGATTTCAGGACTATGCCAATCTTGACCCGGCTCTTACTGCGAAACTGTACAAGGCTTAAGAGATTGCCACAGCTTAGGCATTTGACTAAACTTCAGGTTCTTGATGCATGTGGTGCTACAAGCTTAGTGGAGATGCTTGAAGTGTGTTTAGAGGAGAAGGAAGAGCTTAGGATCCTTGATATTTCAAAGACAAGTCTTCCCGAGTTAGCCGACACGATCGCTGATGTTGTCCATCTCAATAAGCTTCTAATAAGGAACTGCTCCCAGATTGAAGAGCTTCCAAGCATTGAGAAACTTACACACCTTGAGGTTTTCGACGTTTCTGGTTGCAATAAGTTGAAGAAGATCGATGGATCCTTTGGGAAGATGTCTTACCTCCACGAAGTGAATATTTCAGAAACGAATCTTGCTGAGCTACCTGACAAAATCTCAGAGCTATCTAACCTCAAGGAGCTCATCATAAGAAACTGTACCAAGCTAAAAGCTCTTCCAAATCTTGAGAAGCTAACACATCTTGAGATCTTCGATGTTTCGGGCAGCACCGAGTTGGAAACAATCGAGGGATCATTCGAGAATCTGTCATGCCTCCACAAAGTGAATCTTTCGGGAACTAATCTCTGTGAGTTACCTAACAAAATCTCCGAGCTATCTAACCTTGAAGAGCTCATCGTAAGAAACTGTACCAAGCTAAAGGCTCTTCCAAATCTTGAGAAGCTAACACATCTAGAGATCTTCGATGTTTCGGGATGCACCGATCTGGATAAAATCGAGGGATCATTCGAGAATATGTCTTACCTTCGCGAGGTTAATCTCTCTGGGACGAATCTGAAAACGTTTCCAGAGTTGCCAAAACAGAGCATCCTCTGTTCTTCAAAACGTATTGTGCTCGCGGATTCGAGTTGTTTAGAGCGAGACCAGTGGAGCCAAATAAAGGAGTGTTTAAAAATGAAGTCAGAGGGCTCTAGCTTCTCTAATGTAGCAGAGAAAACCCGCGAGAAACTTCTTTATCACGGAAATAGATACAGAGTTCTTGATCCTGAAGTTCCTTTGAATATCGATATCGTTGACATCAAAAGAGCCACTGATCTTAAAACAGAGTCTTTCGCCAATGCAGAGTATGTCTCTATAGCAGAGAATGGATCGAAAAGCGTATCCTCGATCTTCGACGAGTGTCAGATGAGATCGGTAAAAGGTTGCTGGGTAGAGAGGTGCAAGAACATGGATGTTCTCTTCGTATCAGATGAACAACAAGAGAAAGAGAAATCATCATCATTATCATCCTTGGAGAATCTTTGGATCTCAAATCTTCCATTACTAACAAGCTTATGCAGTAGCAAAGGAGGATTCATCTTCAAGAACCTAAAGAAGCTAAGCGTAGATTGTTGTCCAAGGATCACATCGCTCTTCCCTGAGATTCCTGATAACCTTGAGATTCTTCGTGTGAAGTTCTGTGATAAGTTGGAGAGATTGTTTGAAGTAGAAGCAGGAGAATTATCGAAGCTTCGTAAGCTTCAACTTCTTGATTTGCCTGTCTTATCGGTGCTTGGAGCTAATTTCCGGAATCTGGAGAAATGCACAATTGAGAAATGTCCGAAATTGAAAGCTAGACAAGATGAAGTAACAAGGAGGACTACAGATGAAATTTCAGAGGATCATCAGCCTCACAACAAGTAAGTGAAGTAATAACTAAAAAAAATCGAAACTATTTTGTTTTGTTTTCACACTCTCTGTTGTTTCTTCATGTGCAGGACTATTGGGCCTGAAACCCAAACTCCTACTCAGCCCACAAAAGATACAGACACAACAGTTTAACATCATCTCATCTCTCTGTGTTCTTCTTCTTCACACGACGTAGAAATAAAATTTCCGCTGATTTTATGTTATCTCACCGTAAATGTCTAAATAATGATCAAAGTCTTCAACTTTGACAGAGCCTTGTGTTGTACGAAACTTTAAAAAATGTGAACTTTGTGTTGTGTTGTTGTGTTTTTTGTGTTGTGTTTGTGCTAAACTCTTAAAATAAAGAATAAATGAATGTTATTTTATTTTTAGTCTTCTCCAAGTTTTGGTCTTGCGATCGTGAAACTTACGCAGAGAAAGATCAGAATCGAAGAGAACATTGACATATAAAAGAGTCACCTTCGCGAGCTCGTGTCTCTCTCCGATAAAGCAATGAGTCTATTTGGGCTTGGAAGGTGAATTACTGATTCCTCTGCGTTTTCTAAGAGGTTTCGGGATTGTTTGTTATTTAGATCTTTCTTTCGACTGGCTCATGGTTTTTCATTATCTTGATTTATATGGATTGCTGAGTAAAGATTGTGATTCACTGTTACATACCCTTTTGTACGAATTGTTGATTCTGGAGTCTGTTTCATACACATACATATTAGGGTTCTATCAATGATTATACCAATTGGTGTAAACTTTTTCTTTTGTATTTGGAGCTATAAGTTTCAAGAAGCTTATTTGGAAAAAATTTCTATTCTGCAGAACTTGATGGAACTAATGTTAACTTACTACCATTGTCAATGTGTCATGATGCTTCTTGTCAAAATCTTGTTCAAGTTAATGTAGAATTTTCTTATCTTTCCATTGTATGTGTTCATTGATTAGAAATCAAAAGACTTTCCGTCCTAAAAAGAGTGCACCATCAGGAACCAAGGTTTGTAGATTCTTATTTGACTTGTTTCTTTATACCAATGATTCATGTTTTTGTATCCTTATAACTTATAAGTGTTCCTTGCTTCTCCCTTTGGATCGTTTTAGGGAGCACAGCTTCGAAAGCATATAGATGCAACTTTAGGTAGTGGGAATCTTAGAGAAGCCGTAAAACTTCCTCCGGGAGAGGATTTAAACGAATGGCTTGCCGTTAACAGTGAGCTTATAACTTACACCACCACTCTTTTTTAATCTCATGGTTTCCCTATGCATTTTAGTATAACAATACTATCTTCTGATTATGCTTTTGTTTTTCTTCAGCCGTGGATTTCTTTAATCAGGTGAATCTGTTATTTGGTACACTTACCGAGTTTTGTACCCCGGAGAACTGTTCTACAATGACTGCTGGTCCCAAGTATATATATATCTCTTTTTCATTCTATAAGCAATTTTGGTGCTCATGCTTGAATTAGTAAAGATTCTTGATCACTGTTTTCTCTAAAGATCTTGAATACAAAAAACTTTGAAACTGCTGGAGCGATATGAGCATATGTAAACTGGAAATGTATTTGGCTGCAACGTTTCAGGTACGAATACAGATGGGCAGATGGTGTACAGATCAAGAAGCCTATCGAGGTTTCAGCTCCAAAGTATGTTGAATACCTAATGGATTGGATCGAGACACAACTCGATGATGAGACCATATTTCCTCAAAAACTTGGTAAAAGTAACCTTACATTGGCATATATATCTTTGATGATTATGGATTAAAAGACATTGGTCTTAAAAATGTGATATTCTTGGTGCAGCTTTTCCTCCAAACTTCAAGGAAGTGGTGAAGACAATCTTTAAAAGATTGTTCCGAGTTTACGCACACATTTACCATTCCCATTTCCAGAAAATCGTTAGTCTCAAAGAGGAAGCTCATCTCAACACTTGCTTCAAACACTTCATCCTCTTCACTCATGTATCTATAAACTCTCTTTGACTCATCAATAAATCTCCATTCTAGTCTTTAATCAGTCACTGGGTTTGTTGATTTTTGCTTATTGTTGGTTTGGTTTATTTTTGCAGGAGTTTGTTCTCATTGACAAGAAAGAACTCGCTCCTCTTCAAGAACTCATAGAATCTATCATTGCACCTTACTAAACGAAACAAAACCCAAATCCTCTGTCCAATTACAAAACTTTTTTTCTTATTCATGGTAATAAGTTTTTAACTTTTAACACCAACTGTAAATTGCTGTTTCTTGGATTTATTTGAATGGTTTCAATCTAATATTCCACGAGAAATACATATTTGGTCACTGCATAATTGTTATGAAGGTTATTGATTAGTAATTTTCATATTAATTTTGAGTTTGGCTTTTCTTGAAAGAAAAAAATTACAACTTTTTCTTTTTGTATGTTTTCGTAAATGTTGTGTTGTACTGGTGTCTTACTTAAAAACTAAGAATATAGACGTCAGCCAATAATCGTGGTCCACGTGTATGTGGTCAACACGTCAGCCTAACCGTCGTTTTCTTTTTGTTGATACTCGTCGTTTTCTTCTCTGCCTAACCGACTAAAGATCGCCGTCAGCGACCTTCTCAATGGATTGCTTCGTCAGCTAACGACAAAATACAAAATGTGAGTTTTTGAACTGATTTGGCATGACTTTAATTAATTTAAATTATTAATGACTCCTCTCAATTAAATTAAATTAATGTTATAAATCACATATTGGATGGACTCCATAACCGTGGGCCTAATCCATATCCTAGAAGGCCCATGTCCATGTTCTTGAAGATTCTCCTTATGACGGCCTATATTGTACTTAGTGGGCTTTTGGGCTTTAGGGTTTACTAGCCCAATGGGGATTTGTCTCCCCTCATCATGTATATATATGTATCGAAACCTCATTCATTAATTAATAGAACAACAAGTTTTATAACACGTTATCAGCACGACTTGCTCTTAACGAAAACCCTAAAACCCTAACCCTAAAAATCGCGACACTGTTCATCGCCGACACTGTTCATCGCGGCACAGTTCATCGCCGACACTGTTCATCGCGACACTGTTCATCGCGACACTGTTCATCGCGACACTGTTCATCGCGGTACTGTTCATCGTGGTACTGTTTGTGGTTCGTTGCAGCAGCGTGAGTTACCGAGGTCTTTAGCTCCCGGTTCTAGTCCATACAACCCCATAAGGTGAAAGATAACATCAAAACCCTAAATTCTAAATCACGTTTGGTTGAGGTTGTTTTGTTAGATTGATTGTTTATTTGTTTGATTTCATGCATAAGTTGTTAGAAACCCTAAAACTAAAATCGCATGAACCCTAGAAAAACTTAGAAAAGATAATCCTAAAAGAAAATATTAAAATCCTAAAATCTTAGGGATAATAGGAAATCTTAACAACCCTAAATCCTAAATAAAATAGGAAATCTTAAAATCTAAAATCATAAGTGAAATAGGAAAATTAAGCCTAAAATAAAGAGGAAAGTAAATCCTAAAAGGAAAAGGAAAAGTTAATCCTAATCAAAAGAGGAAATCTAATCCTAAGCAAAAGAGGAAAGTCAAATCCTTAAGTAAATCGATTCATGGTTCGGTCTCAAATACCGCATGACACTAACGATTACATGATTTTGACTCAAAACTTTTCCTTGTAGATGTTGAATTACAACTTGTACTTTACTGCCCTAAATCTCTTAGGAGATAATTATTTTAAAATGGGCAATGGATACTAACATTATCCTAAAGTCAAAAGGACTTGGTGAATGTATCTAATAAGGCAAGAATGCCAAGAGAGAAAGATAGATACAAGGCAATATTAGCCACCATCTTATTGAGAGTCTCATAATCCAGGACTACAAGTCCGTGGATGAGTCTATTGCTTGAGGAGCAAAATAATGACTTACAGATAAAAACAGTGAATTACAACCTCATAGATTAACCCCATTACCTAATGCCAATAAGGCCGCAGAGGATAAGAAAGAATCCAAAGAATCTAACCACGTCTAAAGTGATAGACCACACGGCCGTGACCGTGGTGGATGGAAAAGACGTGGTTGTGGCCACTATAACTCATCCGGCCGTGGGAACCACTATAACCGTGGATGTAGACCCAATTCCGGCCGTGGTCGAGGGCGAGGACGATGTGGTATTTCCAAACCACAACACTCGACCAAATGAGTATGCCATAGATGTGGTATTGAAAGGACGTGGTTGTGGCCACTATAACTCATCCGGCCGTGGGAACCACTTTAACCGTGGATGTAGACCCAATTCCGGCCGTGGTCGAGGGCGAGGACGATGTGGTATTTCCAAACCACAACACTCGACCAAATGAGTATGCCATAGATATGGAATGGGAAACAATTGGGCTAAGATATGTAGGACTTCCAAACATCGTTGTGACCTCTATCAAGAGAGTGTAAAAGGGAAGAATCCTCAAGCCCATTTGGTATATAAAGATGGTGAACATGATCAAGATGATCTAATAGAATATGAAACTTCTGATTGCATAAAAGAATCAAGTTGATAAATTTTACTTCGACATCAAAACCTCTATGTTTTTCTTTGCATTTTATGTGTTCATTGATTGTTATTTGCTTGAATTTATTTTATATTATTTTATGTTTAGAACATGATTCTTGTCCATATAAGAAATGGCCAAGGACAAGAACATAATTGTGGTGGATAGTGGAGCCACACAAAAGATAAGAGATATTTTCCTAAATCTCATAATGAAAAATGCCAATATTAGCACTTAGCGGGTATAGCAAATCTTATTGAGGGCTACGGCCAAGCCCTTATATTCACCCAGCTCGAAGAGGAGCTTATTAAGTTTCAAAGATATAAGATTGAATGGTTTCCATATTGAAACAAAGGGTGAAGGGAACAAATAGATCACCCAAGGACATAAGAAAGTCCTAGAGACTATACCCGCATTATCCACTGGTCTCTACTATGCTAAAATCGATATGATCGAAGCTAATATGGCAATGAACAAAGAGTTCATCGAGAAATTCACTTTATGGCATGACCGGCTTGGCCATCCGGATCATAGTATGATGCGTAAGCTTATGATAAATTCAAAGGGGCACACCCTAAAAGAGAAAAGAGTTATCCCTAAGAATCTCACGTGTGAAGCATGTTCACAAGGGAAACTCATTATAAGGCCATCACCGGCTAAGGTAAATAAAGAGACCTTAAAATTTCTGGAAAGGATACAAGGAGATATATGTATGGTCATCATTGATGCATCGACAAGATGGTCGCATGTTTGTCTCCTATCTACTAGAAACCAAGTGTTTGCTAGGTTATTGGCCTAGATAATAAGACTGCGAGCCCACTTTCCAGATTTTCCGCTTAAGACTATACGTCTAGACAATGCCGGTGAATTCACGTCCCAAGCGTTTAATGACTACTGTATGTCCATGGGGGTAAGTGTGGAACATCCCGTAGCACATGTACATACACAGAATGGATTAGCGGAATCCTTCATTAAACGAATTCAATTGATAGCTCGACCATTACTCATGAGGTCGAAGCTTCCTGTAGCCGCTTGGGGACACGCTGTTTTACATGCATCAGAGCTTATACGCATAAGGCCATCTAGTGAAAATAGATATTCACCATCCCAATTACTCATGGGTCATGAGCCAGACATATCCCATCTAAAGACTTTCGGGTGTGCCATATATGTACCGATTGCTCCACCCCATAGAACAAAGATGGGACCTCAAAGGAGGATGGGAATATATGTTGGATTTGATTCTCCCACCATTATTAAGTATCTAGAGCCAACTACGGGTGATCTATTTAAGGCTAGATACGCGGATTGTCATTTTAATGAATCCGAGTTTCCTACTTTAGGTGGAGAGATGAACAAGCTGGGTAAAGCAATAAAAGAAATATAATGGAATCAAACATCCTTAAATTGGCAAGATCCTCGGACTCTGGCATGAGAATCAGAGGTCCATAAGATTATACATTTGAAAAGCTAGCTAATCAATTGCCAGATTCCTTTGCTGACCCAAAGAAAGTTACAAAAACGTACATACCAGCTTGTAATGCACCAGTACGTATTGATATCCAAAAGGGAATCAATGAAATTGCTACCAAGTCTAACACACGAAAGAAACGTGGTAGACCAATAGGTTCCAAAGATAAAAATCCTCGAAAATCAAAGAAAGGTGCAGTAGGAAACGAGGTGAAGGAAACCATAGACATGGCCGTGGCAGACCCTAAGGAACCGAATAGAGAGATTTGGGACGCCAATCCTCATGGTCCTGAAGGGATAGATAATAATGAGATCTCAATAAATTATATCATGTCTGGAATAAAATGGAACCGCAAAGATGTCGACATCGATGAAATATTTGCATATAAGGTAGCACTTGAAATGAATGAGGATCATGAACCCACGTCTATATTAGAGTGCACTCAAAGATCAGATTGGCTAAAATGGAAAGAAGCCATAAACGTGGAGTTAAGTTCAGGGATAAAACCAGTAGGACACAAGTGGGTCTTTGTGAGAAAGAGAAATGAGAATAATAAAGCGTGAGATATAAGGCACGGCTTATAGCACAAGGATTCTCACAAAGACCGGGGATAGATTATGAAGAAACATACTCCCCTGTGGTGGATGCTAAGACATTTAAATTTTGCTAAGTCTGGCTATATAAAGAAAAAGACTTGATTTGCGGCTAATGGATGTAATGCCTGCATATTTATATAAGTCCACTGGATAATATATATGAGATTACCAGAGGGTATTGAGCTCAAAGATAAAGATAAGAAAGGGTCTCGGGACCAATACTGCATAAGGCTGAACAAATCACTTTATGGACTGAAACGAAGTGGACGCATGTGGTACAATAGATTATGTGAGTACCTAGTCAGAGAAGGTTATAAGAATGATCCCATCAGTCCATGTATCTTCATAAAGAAATTTGCAAACAAAGGGTTTGTGATAATAGCAGTATATGTGGATGATTTGAACATCCTTGGAACCTCTGGGGAAATCGCCCAAACAGTCGAATATCTAAAGAAAGAATTCGAGATGAAAGACCTAGGCAAGACAAAATTCTGTTTGGGATTGCAACTTGAGTACGTGAATAATGGAATCCTTGTGCATCAAAAGGCATATACTGAAAAAGTACTCAAGAGATTCAATATGGACCAGGCCCACCCATTGAGCAGCCCAATGGTGGTGAGAAGCCTCAGATTGGATAGTGATCCATTCGGTCCAAAGAAGGATGAGGAAGAAGTTCTCGATCCTGAAGTGCCATACCTTAGTGCCATAGGAGCGTTAA